AAGCACATATACAGCTGGGTTTTAGCATTTATAAGCACATATACAGCTGGGTTTTAGCATTTATAAGCACATATACAGCTGGGTTTTAGCATTTATAAGCACATATACAGCTGGGAATATGTTCATAGTGGCGTAAAATTTATGAAAACGTTGCCGCAAATAATGGGAGAGTTTTTTAGATGTTTTCGTTCATCAGAACATCGTAGCAGCTGTTGGGAAGCAGTTTTAAACCTTGATGCTGCCACTGTCGTCGGCTGGATGGGGAAGAGCAGCGTTATTTAAGAGGTACATGTGTGTCTCTTATGCTGCCTGTATTTTGTCGTTCGTAGGTAAGGGGAGTCGTCGCTGTCTAGGCCTGAGGCCTAATGAAACTCCACTCCATTAGCGCTGAATCGGACAGATTGCTCTCCCGGAGAAATGAATTGAGTTTTTTGTATTTGTGAGATCATTCTCCCTCCATTAACGGCTATTTATCCCATCTCTTCATCACGGCTAAATTGCGTTAGGCGGCCATGGTTAGCTAAGGATGCCTCCCTTCTTAAGCGGTAATTGGGTTTGGCGGCTCAGCTGATAGTGTCATTACGGCCAATAAAGCCTGGGTTTGGCTCATTGAGTGAAACAGATTCTTCAGGGGCAGATGGCAGATGGTGCATAAAGGATCCCGCTACATAAACAGAGAAAACAAAGTTTGCGTAGCCAGTATGTATGTTGTCATCTGCTTTTCTCTGCTTCTCTTTGCAAATTTCTTCCGTTACAGTTAGTCCCAAATTTAGTGCACTTTTGACCAAAAAATCTATAACTCTCCCGAAATTAATCTAGGCAATTATTCATGATTATTTTTCTTAAAGTGGCTTCATCTTATTTATAAATCTAGATGACTGCAACCTTAACATACAACTTTAAATGCACTTTGTACATAAACCATTGAGTCCTGTGATTTTGCACTTTGAGTCCGGTGATTTTGCACTTTGAGTACAGTGGAAACTCTCCCCTTGTTACTTGCTCTCTGTATGTTGCACTGTGGTTCTGTAGGAACGCTATTTTGTGCCACTGTTTACTTGTACACGGATGGTACGACAATAAAGCTCACTTGACTTGACTTGTTTAAAGCTTGGTCATTGACGCTGTTTTCTGTTTTATGGATTCCTGAATCACCCCTCATTGAGACGTGTAGCAGAGCAAAAGATGAGTGATTGTTTTTACTTCTTGGGTTAAGGGTGTGAGGAGGAGAAAACATGAGGCTTGGATGGACAGGGGATGGCAGGAAGACATGCGATGGTGAGATAATGGTTAGCATTAGCGGAGAGCAGAGTTACACTGACGACTTCGTAAACGTGACGGAATGCCCGTCATGCTCTAGCTTTATGACTGATGTCGTGAGGCACGCAGTAGCGGAAATTATCGCTGCGTGACATTGAGGTACGACATTCAAACCAAGCTATCGCACCTGTCCGTCGCTGAGGAAATGAAACCATCACACCGTTATGTTTTGCAAAATATCCATTTGTCATTGAATATTGAAGTGGTTGGCACCCATACAGTATA